GAGAAGGGTAAGTGAAAAAGGTGTGTCTGAAGGCTCTTTGGCAGAGGAAACTAGAGAAGCAGTTTGTAACTCTGTGAAAATAGAATCACTATTTAAAAAAAAAAAAAAAAAAAGTAACTCCGGAGTGAGACAGATGTGGAGGTGCTGTAAGAAAAAGTCACAAGTCAACAAGATCAGGAGTGGGTAGAGACCGACTTGACATGTTACAAGGGCTGAGACTTCAGCACTTGCATTGATCTAGTCTGTCAAGGAGGGACTGTAGGTGGAAGCATGCTGGGGTTTTCAGATAAGAAGAAGCAATGGCTGGTTCCTATGGCTTGCAAGCCTAGAGACAGGAAGGAGCTGGGTGCCCCTTTGGAGGGTGAGGGCTAAGCGGGCAATGTTAATGCTCCCTCCACCCGCAAAGTTTGGATGGGGGAAGCAGGGAGAAGTGGAGAGTTTTGCAGCACCCATGAGTCACCACGTGTGTCAGAATAGAGGAAAAGCCATAGACTGACATGCTGGGTGTTGCCATCCTAAGAAGAGAGAACTGGGGGAGGGGTGTGTGTGTGTAGCTAGGGAGGCAAGTTGAAGCAGCATTTCCTTGCTCAAGAGGAGTTGAAATCTCCAGCTAGGCAGAAAAGAGCTTTTTGGATGCAGCAGAAGCAGGACTGGAATCCCTTGGCCCATGGTCCTAAGAAGTCCCTTGTACCCAAAGCTGAGTTGTGCAGGCGCAGTGCCCTTGGCTCCCTTAGGTCAGCCAGATGGTGCCTGCCAGCCACTGTTCCCACTTCCTAGGGGTGAGCAGACTGTGGGCCTTGCCCGCCGCCTTAGGTCCCTCCCTGTCCTGTTCTCCTGGGCACTATGGTCTCTGGCACTGGTCAGCCTGCGTACTCCCTCTGACCCCTGTGACCCTTAGGCTTTTCCTCCTCTCTCTTCTGGGTCTCGGGAGGGTGATCCTGGAAATCCTAGGCACTTTCACCTTACTGAGACCCTACTACCACAGGAATATTAAAAATAATTTCTTATCACCTTGAAGTTGGATTTCTTCCTCTAGAAAGTGCAATTGAACGCCACTCTTCTCAGTCCTTG